GCATTAATTCACCGACTCAGTAGATGGGGTAAAGGGAGGCGTTGTCCCTTCCTCGCTGGAAGGCCCAGTCAGCTTCTAAGGCAGCACTGACAAAAAGCCCCTTCAACTCCAAACACAGTTCTTTCTGCTCTCGTTAAACACCTTCCCTTAAAGACTCCCTGCTGTGCCAGTGGAGCTAACGGGCTAGCTCCTGTTCTCTGTGCAGCTGCTTCAGGCCCTGAGGAGATGAGATGCCAGCAAGATGGCTTTTGTGGGGCACTGGTATCGTATAGGGTTCCTTTCTTTCCCCTTTCCTGTGTCCAGACAGACACTATAACTGCATTTCCCCAGCTCTCAATCAGGAAGCAGGCTCCGAGAGGACAAGGAACCAAGCGCGATGTGGCTGGCAGCAGGCAGGGGCCTCACCAGCCAGAGCAGGGTGGGCTGGGGACAGACCACACTCCAGGCTTTCAGGCAGGTTTCTGGTGATGAGGCAGATCTGAGGACAAGCTGGGGAGTCAGTCGCTGGTCCAGGACCAGTAGAGGAGTTTTTCACTGTGATTTCCAGTGTCAGTGCTTTCAGGAAATGAAGCGTTATGTTTGCCCCCTGCACCGAGATGTAAGCACTGAACCCTGCGCTGACTTTGTACGCAGGCAGCTGATGGGAGCTAGGCAGCAGAAGGGGCCGGGCTGCCCTGCCCTTGTCAGCGTTCACCCGCAGGCTGCCAGAGACAGATTTTACCAGCAGCAGTGTGATAGTTTACCTCAGGATCAATGATTGAAAGAATGGATAACCCCTTTCCTAGTGATGCCAACAAAAAGAAATCATCGGGGTTTTCTTAGAAGGATATTTTTAATGATCTGCTACTAAATCACTCAGTTACAAGGTAAGCGTAAAGAACATTTTTAAGAATAATACTGTTCAGATGGAAAGCACCACGGTAAATGTGACATATACTAAAGCAGGATTAGGCCTTTTCTCATTCCAAGCAGAATGCTGATTAACCTACTCATACACTAAACTGGTGAAGTATAAATTATTTATGAGGAAAAGAATTCATTTTTCTCATTTTGGGCTCCAGTCATTACAAATTTGGCTCTGCAGCCACAGCTGTTTCTTTTAGAAACTGAGCAGCTGAGAAAAACAGGCCAAGTGGAACACAATTCTGATTTCAATTGCAAATATTTAGAAATTTCAAGAAAGCCAGCAGCTAAAAGCATTGGATATTTTTCATTTCTCCAGTGAAAACTCAATCACTAAGTAAGTTAAAGCCACACTATCAAGGTACCACAATCACTACAATTAAACATGTTCCATTATGTGAAAGAAAAGATGAGGAAATGGGCTAGGTAGTGCAGAGCTGTCATCCCAAAGGACCCTCAAGATAGAAGAGCTGAGAAGCAGCAATAATTTTTTAATAGCACTGGTGGACTCTTACTGGATTTAAACAGACTTCAGACATGCTTTTCTCCAAGTGATAAAGGTCTGTACTGAAACATTATGGCAGTAAACAAGAATGAAGAATAATGGGAAAAAAAGAATAGAAAAAAAGAATTGAAAAACCTGTAGTAGTAAAATGATGAGGTTCTATCTGAGATGTGAGCTAAGTTTGACATCTCAGCAGAATTTCTTGATGTTACTGTTTTATAACATTTTTTTGACTGGACTATGTGAATGTGGAAAAGTATTCATGGGGAAATAATTATCAAACAAATTAGAATCCAGCCAGTTTCTGTGTATTTCAGACCCCTCAGGGCCTGACTAAGGGAGAGGCTAAGCTAACTTTTTTTCTGTTGCTCTTTCATTGACAGCAGTAGGACTATTCAGCTCACTGTCACATAGAATTTGGATTAGTGTGCACCCAGAGCTACACCAATTTACTCTAGCTGTTATCTGACCCATTATTTCAATGTCAATTTAACAACTGATTTGATTTTTTACAGGCTTGTCTACAAAAAGACCAAGCTGAATCAGCTACAGGGCTGCCATCTAGAAGTGTATGCCTACAGCTGAGGTAATGCACATCAATCATACAGTGTCACTTCTTGGCTGTCTAGTTCTGGGTGCTGTAGGCATGCTTTGTAAGGCATGGATGCATTTCATGACATTGAAAATGCTGAAATTTTGAAGAAAAAGTAAATGCATATACCTGTCTGCATATGCTATAGGTGTGGAACCTTTAACAGCACAGGTCATTTACTTTTCAGTGGGAAAAAAAAAAAACCTCAACAGGACAATAGTGTTCTTGCTGAATCCTGGATGTTACCAATTGTTTTCAGTATTCAACCGAAGGAGTAGAAACTGAGGTTGTGCAGAGAACAGTTTGCAAAACAAAGCCACCTTGTGCATCCGAGAAGAAAATCTGCAGTTAAAAAGGGTAAGGGGACTTCTTTATTCCTCCAAAAACCATCTCCCATTGCTGATATCACCCCAAATCTCACTCAATTCTTAGAAGATCCATCCAGATACCTCTGACCAGTCTGCTCCAGTGTAATTTGGATCTGCACGTGTTGTCAGACAGGCGTTTTGCCTAGCTGTTGAACGGAGGCTGCACTGGTGTGATTACTAGAACGCGCTGTGGGACCACACGGCACCAGGCTGTTCACCTCAGAGAGCAGCTCCTGTTACCCTGAGATGGGGAGCCGCTGGTGTGTGTCTGGAAAGCAGGCACTCTCTCCTCTTCCTCCTGGGGCTCTGAATCCTCTTGCATTTTAAGCCAGTCTGGGCAGAACTTCACAACTGATTTTTGGAAGCATGTGAAAGAGCTATTTGTCAAGCCTTTAACTTAAGATGGGTCAGCACAACTTTCTGAAAATTCATACAGCGCTCAGTCTTATTCTGTGCCAAGCATAAGCTGCAAGCAGAGGAGAACTGTGCCACACTTGCAGCAACTGCACTTCAACTGTCACCTTCTAGACGGAATGTCAGATGCTTCCTAATCAGACAACAAGCCTTTCACAGTTCCGTGTATGAATACCTTCAGTCTGGCCCTCTCCCACCACCGTGAAGGAGACACGTGGAAGCTCTGGAGCAAGTCATTATGTGCCCACAACACACTGCAGCCGTTCATCACGCAATGGCTTTTAAAGTCACGAGCAAAATACCAAAGCGCAGCAGGAAAGACCTCCAAGAACAAAAGAGTAAGAATACAGAAGATATTTTACAGCCTTGCCATATGTTAAACGTAACTCAGCTAGCGCATATCCTGCTAGATTGTGTGAAGAAACATTCTGTACTCCATCAGTTACTAACATTGGATAAATCAAATCTAGAATGAAGAGCTCAGAATAAATAGACATATATGCAATTCAAACAGAACATACTCATTGCAAATGAAGTTGCAATCAAACATTGAATTAACATACTCAATGCAAATAAACTTTTTAAAAAAGAAGATCGACTTTTAAGTGGAAGAAAGAATTTTCTTCTTTCTGACATCCCCCATTATTTAACAGTGTAGTGACAATGACCTACAGCAGGTATGCTCAAACTGGCACAAGGGTAGATTTCAAACAGCACAGCACAGGCCCTCGGAATATCTGTACTGCAGCAGATCCCTGATCCTGGCTCCTGCCGTGTTCCAGTCTCTGCAGGAACTTGCTCTTGATTAGACAGAAGGTGTTCATGACCAGTTACATCTTGTCCCGTTGAGCATCGGTACTGCCCCGTTTATACTGACGTTTGTCTAGTGCCCGGCTTCACCTGCAGCTGTGGCTGGACCCTTCTCGTGCCTGTTCCCCCGTTCGCAGTCTGAGCAAACAAGTCAATAAAACACTCGCAGCCTGGCACTGATAGTCCTGCCGCTGCCATTTCAGCTCAGCCCTGTGCACGTGACCAGCACAGCTCGGCCGCAGCCTGGCTTGCCAGCAAACACGCAGTGAGGGCAGCCCAGCACCTTATTTTTCTCCTGGAATGCCAAGGGAGGGTCGGGTGGTGGCACGGGGCTGGAGTGCTGCGGGCGGGGAGTGGCCACCGCCCATCCCAGGCGTGAGGTGGGGGTGCCCCGAGCTGCTCCGAGCTGGCAGCGCTGGCTGGGGAATCCCAACACAAACCCACCACAGCAGGCACAACTTTCCAAGCTCCACGCCAAGTGACGATTTTTAGAGTAGTATTCTAGTTCGGAGTATGAAGATTTATGTTGAGTCAATTCATTTCTCACAGTAGCAAGTCACAACAGTATCTAACTGCTCATTCAGCTTCTGCTTCTCCTCTGTCATCCATTAGACACCTCAAACTGAAGCTGGCAAAAATTAGACGTTCTCCCTTTAAAGCCCCTTTCCTGATCCCTTCTATTCATCAACTTTATTTTTGCAGCTATTTATAGATCTGGCTGATGGTGCAGTTCCAGATACAAGAATTTAAAATGTGTCATCATCTTAAGAGACTTACGTTGTCAAATTACAGTACTACACTTAAATTTCAAAAGGCCCCAAAGATACACATAATTAAAAATTACCAGTGATATGGGCAGAACTAGACAGCAGTTGTCATGGATCAGAATACTGACCAAAGTAAATGTGAAAACTGTTCATGAAAGATACAACTGCCTTTTTCTGTTTGAAGAATTCAACCTCCTATGAATTACTGACTGATGATTTGCAACACAAGTCAGAGACTTCAAGCCACTGACTTTTTAGCAAAGAAGTACTGAGAGGAATGCTACCAACAGTTTCACGTGGTCTTAGCTTGTTTATGCTGTCCAGCTGCTTGCTCAGGAAAATGACAAAGGATATACTCAGTAGTATGTCATATCCCATGTTTCACAGACTTTTTCCACCCTTCTGCATTTCTAGTTAACATACTTGTTAATTGCGCTTTTCTGAAAATCTGAGCAAGTTTGCACAACCACATAAACTTGTGGATTATTGAGAAGTGGAATAAGTGACACCACATCGCAGTGCACTGAGAGAGAGAAAAGCCTTAGAACCACAAGTCCACAATTTTTTTTTATTAAAATAACACCAAGTTTAAGAAATCGATGCAGTGCAAAGAAACTTCAACTCATCATACAAAAGAAAATGATTTTCCGTCCTTAACTATGTAAACTGCATTCCAATCCTGACATGACTGACATAACACAGAACCAGAAACACCGTATCCCAGGTGAATGTCACAGTTAAAGACTGGCATGCTGGGCAAGGAAGGTTCTTATTCTTTGCAAGAGCTCTTTCTTTACACTGTCTGGCACCAAGGCTGAAACACAAATAAGAAAGCAAGACGTAAAAAAGACAAAATGGAAAATATGCTAATACCAACCTTTCACAACAGTTACTTGTATTCTTCATTCTTGCTATTCTGTTAATACCTCACGTAACTGAAGCTATTTGATTTTCATATAGCACATCTGTATTTTTTCCATTTAAAATAGCCTAAAATTGAAGTCTGTTGAGAACACTGTTGTTAGTCGTAGTTTTTTGCCTAGCCATAGTCAAGAAAATTGGAAAGTCTGAGGGAAAGGATTATTCAATAGTAAACAGTATACAATCACCAGAAACTAGTTTGATTATCCTGCCTGTTTTCTTCACAAATCTAAGGCCACCAAAAAAAAAAAAAAAATCTCAGCCATGACCTCAGAGTAAAGCTCTTCAAGTTATTTGGAAGGTCTGTTTTCATTTAAGACTCAATGAAGTTTCTCCCACTAACACCAAAGCCCATTAGAGAGTCCAAGAAGAACTATATAAAGAAGACTGCAGTATTTCCTGAAGAGATTCCATTTTTCTGTATCCCTGTGCTATGTCCTTTCCTTTTCCCACTTCCTGTTACACTAGCATTGTTAGTTCAGATTTTCCATCTTACAAAGAACTGGAACTTTAAAACATCTCTGCTGGGATCATTAAGTCAATTATAAAGATCAATACAGACTCGTGACTAAATAATGTAACCTGCAGAAGCAGTCCGCACACACAGCTCATTACGGATTCTGAATGGCTGTGACACAATACAAATTCACATATTTTATTTGTAGTTAGTAACAAGCTATTAACATTTTTCCTTGAATCCAACACAACCAAGTTCATAAGGCTGCTTTCAAAATATTAATGAAATCCAGGAAGGAACGTTTATTGATGTACTACCACATCCATGTCTGGAATTTCTTACCTCTGCCTTTGGGGGTGATTTCTGCCACCAAGTCATCAACAGTAACGTGCTCTAATCCTTTTTCTTTAATGACATCTGGGGAAGAGCAAGACCGACATTTTAAATCTTTTCATCCATTCATTAGAAGGCAAAAGCTGTGCCAATGATGAAGAGACAAAACCTGCAGGCACAGGACATCTGCACGCACAGGACATCCGAGGCTAGGAAGCAGCCTGTGACCGAAATGCAGGTTATTAACTCAGTACTGCTGCGCCGTACAGTGGATTTGGTCTCTCATTCATACCATAGGTTCAAGGATGGGAAGTTGTCACTACCGATGCAGCTTGATCAGCTCATAGTTTAAAATCACATGTTACAAAGTTGAAGCTTATCTGAGCATTACCGGATGTGCATATTACTGGAATGTTGCAGTGGTTCAAAAGTTGGTCCATTTATCTCTTAAAACACAGTATTTACATAATAGTGAGAAAGACATGCCATCAAAAAAAGACTTTGTAGATACACGGGAGAGCACAGAGACAGTAAATACTTAATACTCTTCTTAACTGTTTTAAACAACATCTCTCTCTATATTTCAGCAAAGTAAACATGCATATCTGAAAGAAAGGTATCCATCTACAGGCAAAATAAAAGCTATGTTTAAGATATACTGTATGATTAATAAACACTAGTATTTAGACAATAGTCTACTGATAGTGCCTTGAAGACTACTGAAAAATCCAGAAGTCAATGCTGAGAAGAAACCTCAATTCAGTCGTATAAACCTAAAATATTTTGTCTAAACATGAGAGTTTTTAACTCTATGTCAGTACGTACGATAGTCCTCAAGACACTACATTATGTTTTCTGAACTGACATCACGTGAACTATGTGTAAACTGTTTTTTCTTGGCTGAATTCCCTGCGGAAATTAATCCCGGATTGCTCAATTATTGGCCCTTATCCACAATGGCAAGAGGCTCCAGAAGCAGCTACCAAAAAACCCCCCATCCCAACAAAACAACAACTACAAAAATCCCAACCTCCCCCAGTCCCTCTCTGTCCTTTCTTTTGGAGATTATCAGGCCTGTATCAAGGACAAATGAACTTGTATTTCCATTCTCAGCAGCTGCAGTTACAGTTCAGAGTACTAATATCAGCCCAATAAGTTACATAACTTTGCTACAGCAGAGTATAAAGTGTGTAGTTAAGAAGCAACTCAACATCCTTTCCGCTAGCTGAAATTCGCGACCCTATTGAAATGAGTAATCTCTGGCAGCGGCATCAGGCAGACGACTGCAAGCATGAATCATTTCAGCCTTCTCTGCAAATCCACCTATGAAAACAATTTAACACACTCAGCCCTACAAAAAGAAAAACTTTGTAATGGAACGTTGATTTGGGAGGCTCAATAGACAAAATCAGAATTAAAGTGAAGGCTAAACAAATTTGTTATTTGCTTTAAGGACATTTCATCTTGTGGTAATATTCCTGGGTGCTTAAACTGTTACCATTTGTAACAGTTTCATGCAATTTAAAAATCAGCACATTGTTGTACTGCTAAATACTTAACTCAAACTAAAGGTTTGGGTATTTAGAGGTTCATCTGCTTGTTTTCTCTCATCTAAGTAGATGATCTTATTTTCAAGAATTGTAATCAGAAAGAGTACAAATGCACTTCTTTCTCTCCCATATGCAGAAAACAAAGTTCTCTTAAGTTTCTAAGTTGTGTACCACTGTATTTGCTCCATTTTCCTCTATCTTGGTTTCTGTTCTCCTCTGGTAAGGAAGTAATCTCTATCAAGACAAAAAGCTGTATCGTAATGAATATTTCGGGAATCAATCCCAATACTTTTCTCAGAAGCTTAATAAGGTTCAGATCAGAGACTAAGTTTCAAGATTTTTTTTGCCAAGATGCTTTCTTGCATGCAAAACCAATTGCCAGGGATACTTAGCTCTGGCCCAAGTCTCATTTAAGTTGACTGTTAGGCAGTAAAACCTTCATCCAGGACTTCTATTTGGCCAAAACCTCAGCTGGTTACAAAGGATATTAGTTACTTAATCACGGTTACCTTTGCAATGTGCCTTCAGCTGATCCTTCCAGCCGCATTCAATTAATTTGGCTCTCAGCAACTCTTTAAGGCTGTTAAGACAATATGCAAACTTGTTAGGAACAGCAAACGTTCCTGACAATTAGCCTACAATTAGTACTCACAGCAGAGCTCCCAGAGCAGCAGCAGAATGGCTGAGCAGCGTGTGAATCCCAACCCAAATGAGTACCAAAGTCACTTTACCGTGTTGGACTATGAAGAGTTGGCGGCTCAGGAGCTAATTCACGGTATTTTTTCGGGCAGCATTGATGCTGCAGCCACAGAAAATAGGTAGAAGAACCTGAACTGCCCAAGTCTGCTCAGTTAGCAAATGTACACTAACTTTCAAAGTTAGAATATTTCACTTGAAACCAGGCCCTCGAAATAAATAAAACCTTCCTCCCTCCTTTATGGAAGGAGAACTCTGTACTACTGTCTTCAACTTCTCTCCCCAGTTACGCTTTACGTTGTGTTGGGTGAAGACAAAGATATTGTACATCTTATCCTCCACAGCGTGGTTAACAGTTGTAAGCATCAGCATCAAGGACTCAGGCATTAAACAGAGAAACACACAACAATCTGCTGCAATGATACATCTACTCTGTACATCAAAAAAGAGAATATTGAAACCTAGCTAAAAGAGTGAAAATTAGTGCTGAAGAACAGAAGAAGAGAAAATGAAGAGACCAGTGAGGAGTGGCGTTCCTCATGGGTCAGTGTTGGGACTGACGCTGTTTAACATCTTTGTTGGAGACAGGGACAGTGGGATCAAGTCACCTTCAGCAAGCTTGCCAATGCAACAAAGCCGTGTAGTACGGTCAATGCACTGGAGGGAAGGGATGCCAACCAGAGGGACCTGGACAGGCTGGAGAGGTGGGCCCATGCCAACCTCATGAAGTTCAACAAGGCCAAGTGCAAGGTCCTGCACCTGGGTTGGGGCAACTGCAAGCACAAATACAGGCTGGGAGAAGAACTGATTGAGAGCAGCCCTGAGGAGACTGACTTGGGGGTGCTGGTTGATGAGAAGCTGAACATGAGCTGGCAGTGTGCGCTTGCAGCCCAGAAAGCCAACCGTGTTCTGGGCTGCATCAAGAGAAGTGTGACCAGCAGGTCGAGGGAGGTGATTCTGCCCCTCTACTCTGCTCTCGTTAGACCCCACCTGGAGTACTGTGTCCAGCTGTGGAGTCCTGAGCACAGGAAGGACATGGACCTGTTGGGAGCCCGTCCAGAGGAGGGTCACAAAGACGATCACAGGGCTGGAGCACCTCCCCTGTGAGGACAGGCTGAGAGAGTTGGGGGTGTTCAGCCTGGAGAAGAGAAGGCTTCAGGGAAACCTTATTAGCAGCTTCCAGTACTGAAAGGGGGCTACAGGAAAGATGGAGAGGGACTTGTTACAAAGGCATGTAATGACAGGACAAGGGGTAATGGCTTTAAAATGAAAGAGGGTAGATTTAGATTAGAAAGAAATTTTTCCCTGTGCAGGTGGTGAGACAGCGGCCCAGGTTACCCAGAGAAGCTGTGGATGCCCCATCCCTGGAGGGGTTCAAGGCCAGGCTGGATGAGGCTTTGGGCAACCTTGGCTGGGGGGAGGTGGCCCTGCCCATGGCAGGGGGGGGAACTAGATGATGTTTAAGGTCTCTTCCAACCCAAACCATTCTATGATTCTGTGAAAGTAGGATATGATAAAATAAGCTTTAATATCTTTGTCCTTTACTCCCATCAGCTAGCAAGCCTACTTATCTTATACCATCCTAAATAACTCTAGCAAAATTCTGTTTTTATTAATTAAAGGATTGCAGCAAGAGGCTGAACTGTGTAGGTCTAATCCCTTTTTCGCAGTGAACTGTGCACAGAGCAGATGAAGTGATGACAAAATGCACAGTAACAACACAGGTGAAATTCACTGCTTCCGGATATTTTTTAATTCAAGAAATCCGAGTGCCCTGTCTCTGATTATAGTACAGCTCTGATAAAGCTTGTTTATAATTTAGCCTTTGACATTCTGTCAAAACTCTTCTTACTCTTAAACAAAAGAAGTCCCAATACCATTTCAAGAAATTGCTTGCTCTGCGGAAGCTCTGTGCAGTCTCCAAGGGGATGGTCCCAACCAGGAAAGAAGTCGAGCACAGACACTGCGTCTGTCCAGGAGAGGTCACGCTTACACTAGGCACAGGGCTATGCGGTGGCCTAGGAGGAAGACTCCTTCTCATCCAGGCCCTGAAATGTGAAGGAACTAGAGCTTTTGGTGCATGGTCTCACACAGACAGTGAAATGATGAGGAGGAAAATGTCATAAGGGAGTCAGTGATATGTAAATACAATGTATACAGAACGGGCTGAAGAGACAACAAAAGGCCAAAACCTAGCAGCTGCACTGCACGGCGTGATTCACTTGTTTGCCTTTACTGGGGTCTCTGCAGCGACTTGCACAAGTGCTGTTTTAAGTGTTCCACTGTAAATTTCTTACCCTAACAAGAGAAGAGCCAGGAGCACAAGAAAAGCTTAAAAGCAAAAAGGAATGGTTTGTCTCATTCTCTTTATCAGGAAATAACAAGATTTAACAGCAACAAATTTCATTTAATGGTGATTTTTATATGAACCAAGAGCTTTCCAACATGATACACCAGAAGAAGGAAAAGCTTGAGAGTTCACAAGCCGTCCAGCCCATCCTTTATTTTCCCAGCTTCTCTGTTCAAGTGTAAAACTAGAATAAAACTGCTCAAAAGGTAAGAGTAAGGGGTTTTTATAGAGCTTTATATAATAGATCAGACTCACGTGCAGGGAACTGAAGAATTTAGAGTTAGGTTTATCTTTAAACAGTTCAGGCCTGGCAGCACCCAGACCCTTCCCGGCAGGGAGGGGGACACCGGCTCACCGCTCTCGCTCTCCTGTTTCGATGAGCTTCTGGTTGATGGTGGCTCTCATCTGGGCATCTTTGTTTCATCTGGGCATCTTTGTTCATGGTGCCAGTCCAGGCTGTTCACAGACCTGCGCGGAGCAGAGGACAGCTGTGACAACCGCTGGTGTCCCCGGCGCAGCGGCAGGACCGCAGCCACCGCGCGTGCAGCGACA